TGTCTCATGTTGACTCAACAATATCAATCTCAACGTCGTTCTTTTCTCTCAGAGATGATCCTGGGTCGTTTATAAGCTTATTTCATCTATACTCAATCAATTTCAAATACAATCTTCCAATCATTGAATTCCTTAAACATCCAACAATTGCTGAACATGCTCGTCTCCTGCTCGAAAATGTAACTTTACGAACAACATCTTCTGATCAATATCAATTGATCAATATCAGGGAAGGTGAGTAAAGAAGTCATTGGTCTATATAAAAGTGTAGATAGTCGTATGAGTGCAATGGATAATGTATTTTTTGTATCCTTTTCCAGTAGGTTTCAATAGACATCTATAGAAAACGAATTTCGTGGATGTTCATCATTAAGCAAATTAGAACGGCTGTTTTTTTTTATCATAACTAATATTGCCAAGTTTCTATTTCTAAAGAAAATCTTTAGAAACAGTGTGCCAAACTATCATCACTTACTGATGCATCACAGTTCTTTCTTTATTATTACACTTTCTTTCATTATTCTGCTCTTTAAAGCATTCAGATTTTATACTAATTTGAATTAATTATTTTACAATGTCACCACAAAAGGAAATGAAATATTGTCAAGTCCGATAAACTTGAAGGCCATGAGGTTAGAACGTTTCTTTCCAACAACCAAACATCATACGACTCGTTGTACAGAAAGACAATGACTTTTAGAAAATATATCAATAATTCTATCTTTTCAAAAACGTCAGATTGTTGTTATCAAACTAACAATATATGATGTTTGTGATTTACAGGTAAAAATAACATTAGAAAATAATAGAATGAAAAACGAAAACTAATGCTTCACTACTTTCGAAAGTTTAGAAGACACTGAATAACAGTAATGAAGTGAATGATGATAGCTTATAAGGCGAGTGTAATAATGCGAGACTGATGATATCATGGAACAAAGTTCTAAGAAAATAAGTTCAGTTGTGCGATGTTGAATTCTATAGAGTAGATTCAATACTTACAATTGATATCTGAATTGCCAGGCACTCAATAAACTCTCCCTGCGCTCTTACACCAAAAAGCAATAGAAAGAGTTCTCAGGAAGAGTGGAATGCTGACCATTGATAATTTCTAATATAAACTATCAATTACAAGTATGTTCATGCATGTTCGAAATAATTTCTTCCATGATAAAATTTCTAAGCTTCACTTCTAGAGAATCTAAGTAATTGGGGCCTAAAATATTTAAAATTATGTCAAGTGAGAACGTTCAGAAATAGTACTGAATTCTATGCTATTCATTTCCGTTGTAGAATAGCTTCCTTTTCTATAAGATTTTCTATCTGACACTACAGCGCTTGCAAATTTTTGTTGCTTTGCTTTTACGTTACGTATATTGTCGAATACTTTTCACTCTCAACCTCAAGTTGTCTGTCATAATCATTGAAATATTTAGAATACATTTCTAAGCAGTTGTAGCAATTCCGTACAATGGCGTAGAATTTTTGATTGAAGTAATCTCAGAATTCCAAGAATTAGATTTGTCTCTGAAATGAATTCGTTAAATATTCAAAATTGCAGAACAGGATGACTCCTTCGATCCAACTAGTAATCAAACGAAGTGATACGCAAAATTCTACCTTACATAATAATAGCAAGATAGAATCTAATAATATGTTAGAAGATATCAAGCAGTATGTCGAAACAAAACAATTTATGACCAAAACAAGAACAAAATCAAAGCTAATTGCTGATGCTATAGAGATGGATAAGGCAAAGTTATTCAATATTAATCTTTCGATGTTGTTTGATGCGTTTCTTGCGTTTCATCCAACTTGTAATAAAAGAAAGTTATCTACAAGAAGGGAAATAAGTAGTACTAAGAGAAAGAGCAAGAACGATGTACTATAAAATTGTGTTACGGAAATGGCAGTCAACGCAAATATCACTACCATATGCCACTTGTAGAATTATCTATAACAACGAAAGCAAGATGACATTAATCGTTACATTACCGTTATTAATATATTAAATATGTTGAAGATGAAATAAACTCTGCAAAGTCACGAAATGTTAATATAACTTCTCATGTGCTATATTACTAATAAGTAAACGTCCGTAACTGTCGATCGCTGTTTAATTCTGTATTTTTCTATGATTAGGCACCAAAGAAACTGCGAAAACCCTTTAAAATATTCAAGCATTGATCACTTGGACGAAGATATGATGGTTTCAGGATTAGCAAGTTACTGCTTTTTAGTTTTCTCAATTATTAATTATTGCTCTTTCTTATCAGTTACATTTAATAATTTATTGCATAGAATTTTCTTTGGATATAACCAACTTAAATTGTTTTCATTCTTTCTTGTGTCGTGAGGTATCATTACAATTCAATCCCAAAATGTGGTGGAAAATGATTTTAAACTTTCTTCGTCATTTTTTTCTGTTTCAAAATACTCAGCAAACAAAAAAACATAAACTAGTGAAGCTGATATCCAATGTAAAAATTATCGAAGAAAAGGATACATCAGCACAAACACCACGGATTGAAATAACTTTCTTCTGAGAACAATCGAATCTTTTGAGCGAATACAGTTTAAATTCGTGATATTAAGTAAAATATTTTTGTAACAAAGTTTCGACCGTAAATAATCAGAAGAAGTAAGAAAAGTTGAGAACAACACAAAACAAAGATTCCAACCTTCAGTCTACGAGACAACATACTTTCATCCAAATAGACCATATATCTAAACCTTTTCCGAGGTTTCTTTTTTTTCTTGAATTGTATTCGTTGTCAAAATATAGAATCAAGAGATACCTCTTAGTGACAGATGTTATCTCAGAGTTCTCAGAGCAATAATAGAGCGAACGAGATTTTCCAGATTATAAATTCCTATTAAGCATCAATAATGTTGAGATTGAAGAATGAAGGATTAGAATCTTTTTTAATCATTACAGATTCTTACTTTAACGTGATGGAACACTAGAAGATTTTAGGGTTTCATATTTGGTAGCAACTTCCAAAGCGAATGAAAGAGAAGACATTATATACTGTAATTATTGTCTTCTGAAGATGCAGCATGAATCAGCCTAATTTTTACGAGTAGTTTACTTCTTTGTTATTCTGAAAACTTCGCTTTCACGAATTCTAGATATTAAAGAAGTAATTTCATCGAATATTAAATTGTCACACAACAGACTACTCATTAAATCCATGTTCTGTGAGTCAGAATTATAGATTGATTAATATGAAATATGAACTGATATAATTCACTGTGTCAGCTGTATATATTATCACTGATTCTAATGAAAGATGTATAAGAACGAATAAAAGTACAGTATACAATGAAAATAAGAGTATTTAAACGGTATTATTATGATTCGTAGAAACATTCATTTGTTGACATCCAGAATATGAATAAGATACATAATCATATTACAATAATATGGAAAAACATAGGATATTCAAAATATATGCAAAATTCAATAAACAGTATTCATTTCCTGTAGAGAACTTTTGTCATTGAAACGAATTTACTTTTTATTCAACAATTCCATCTCGTATTGTATTCTTTTTCTTTGAAATATAGAAAGCAACTGTAGATTTTTATGCCTGAAATCATCTTAAAAAAGACTTTTGCTTTTCAAAGAGCAGTTTACCACTGATCAATTGAGATTTTGAAGACAAAAGTAGCGTTTCGAGTTTTCTATGCCGCAAAGATGAAGAAGCTTACAATGAGTCAAGCTGATTAGAGGCCAAATGAATGTGATGAACGCAGCTAACGAGAATAGTAAAAACGACTTTTTCTGTCTCATTTCTAGATTCTTTTTAAACGTATGTAAACTTTTCAATTTAAAAGTAATGTCGCAAAAAGTTTTCAAACACCACGATTTATGTTGCATTTCAGAAAAACTTTGCTGCACATGTGAGTCAACAGAAAGACAAGGTTACATTTAACAATAAAAATAGACTGAGTGATAAAGAAAAGGGTCGAGACGAGAGAGAAGGATAAATAGAACATTATTCGAGAAGTACTATGGGTTACATCAAGTAAACCCTGGAATAGAAAGACATTACTCCATATACTCCATAGAAAGCTGAGTAGTTATTTGTTCATCACCACTAGAAAACTTTGAGAACAAGATGAAAATACGTCAATCAATTTAGGCTTATGTTATTAAACAGCAGAAGCAAGCTAAATATTGTCATAAAATGAATTGAAGAAAAATTGATTAGAAGACTACCGTTGATCCTACAATTTTCTGTGCACTAACTGTAAATATGAAATAATTTCGATATAAACATGATATTCCAAATAACTACGAAAAAAACCAAACTTCCTACAGCGATGCATGAAAATATTCTCTCTTTTTCGATTTATCAGATTCAATAAAAAACATTTCCATAAAACTATAATTATGTTGAGAACATCTTTCCCAAATAATTCTCTCGAAGAGAATAGATTCAAAAAACGGAACAGATGGAAGTACATTTCTATTCGTATAATTCCATAAATACCTGATAATCTATATTTTATTCACAGCACCAGCATCTTTCGCGCAAACTTGCATTTGGCTTGATGAACGAATTCGTGTCAATCCAGACCAACCATCTGTGGCAATTTACAATATGCCTTTTCTTTGTCGCCTTTCTTCAGGAAATGCGTTATCGATTCAACAACTTCGACAAACTCTTCAACTAGTTGTCACAAAACATGAATCACTTCGAACATCACTCTTCTTCGATAAAGAAAAGAATCAAATCATGCAACGAGTCATTGATTTCCATGATAATAGCAATAGACTGTTTGAATTTATTGAAAGCATTTTTGAAACTGATAAGGAACTCGATCTCATTATGCATGATGAGAAACGAAATTTCCAACTATTTGATCTGGCTCAAGGTCTTGTCTTTCGATGTCATATACTTCATCACATACCAATCTCTTCAAATGATCTTCTTTGCAACAAAGATGCAATCATTTTCAATTTTCACCATGCTTTGTTCGATTTTCTATCAATGGATGTATTTCTTCATGATCTCAATCAAGCTTGCAGTACACACCAACTCACAATAGATGACAACACTTCTCTGCGTTATCTTGATTGTAAGTTGGAATATTTATGGTTTTCGATTCAGATGTTTTCTTCGTTGTCGTCTCTTATTTAGATGCTATTATTGAACAACAAATGTCAATGATGGCTGCAAGTATGTTTTGGCTTGATACTCTTCATGATTGTAATCTAGATCAATCTCTGCCACTACCATTTGATCGATATCGGCTTTCTGACAAACATCGAACAGGTCGTGGAATATCTGTTTCTTTTGATTTTTGTGAAGATCTTTCACATGATTTTCTTTCTTATTCATTATCGAGTGATATAACAGTTGAACAACTGGCACTTGCTAGTTATTATGCATTCTTGTTCAAATTGACTAATGGAGAAAGTGATTTATGTATTGGAATGAACACAAATGGAAGATATAAAGAAGAGTTGAAGTCAGTGATTGGAATGTTCGTCAATGCTATTCCTTTGCGATGTCAACCAGATCCTCAGTGGTCGTTTCATCAACTTATTGGTCATGTTAAAGAGATGATTACAAGTAGTTTAGAGTATTCTTATTTTCCTCTTCAACGAATTCTAGCTCAACATCTAAATGCTACAAAACCTGCATTTCTTGAGACATCATTTGAATTTCAATCATATGCAACTAAAAACGGCAAGAATGAAGTGCTGATTGGAGATACTACACTTGTTGTTGCGCCCATTTCACTCAAAATTGGTAAAGATGATATAATGAGCAAGTGTGATTTCGTTCTTATTATTCAACATGATTTGGATAGCAATCAACTCTCATGTACAATCAATGCGTCACTTGACTTATTTGATAGGAAAACAGTTAATATGATTGCACAACGATTTCATTCAATCTTACAACAACTGTTTAACGTAACACATGTACAGATGAAGAAGCCAATTTATGAGTTCTCATTAATATTACCAGATCAAAAAGTGCTTATGAAATCAATGAACAATACACAAGTATTATTTCCTTCTTTGACTTGTATACATCAAAAATTTGCTGGTCAAGTGATAAAGTATCCACAAAAGATAGCAGTTGAATTGGATGATCAATCTCTTACATATTCTGAACTTTTATATTATATTCAAATATTATCTTTGAATCTTTTGAATAAACAAAGAGTTACTGTAGGTGAGATTGTTTGTCAATGTGTAGAAAGAAGTTTATCAGTGGTAAGTGGATCAAAGATAACTATTTAACAAAATAAAATATTGTTATTCACTAGGTGATTGGTATGATGGCAATTGAGATGATTGGTGCTGTTTATTGTCCATTATCACCTCAAGATCCAGCACTTCGTTTGGGTGAACTTGTGAAACAAACTGAAAGTCGTCTTGCTCTTGTTCATTACTTAACACAAGCTAAATTTAATCATGATATTATGT